AAAGACTACTTTCACTGCCTTATATGCTTCTATAGCTTCGTACAGAGAAACGATTGTATAATTTGTATGCTGCGACGGAGGAAGAAGCCAAGAAATGGATATCTAAATTACAAAGCTTGGATACGTAGAGCTTCCACGGTCCAATCATGAATTTCATTATAATCAAAAGAAATGTTGTGCATATGTGAAATATTTTAACATTTTATAACGCACATTTAGGGTAATTTATGTATGTATTTTGATTTTTTTAAATAATAGTATCATTTTGAGACACGTACAAGTTTCAAATTATCAAGACTGAAATAACCAATACGAATTTTCGTTGTATTTCCACATATTACAAAAATAGTGTGACATCAGTTGTAATCACTGAAGCAATTCATTTCTCATCGATCGCGTATTATAACACGAAGAGTCTCAATACTATCAAAAGGTAATCAGTGTAACTTATCTGCTCTGTCTGATTACGACCACGAGTCTTTAATCTTCTAGAGATTCACAATAGTTTTTCCAAACACATTAAAGGCACAGAAGCCTGAAAGACTTAGTTGATGTCTCAAATCTTGTAGGGTGTTGTTTGTCAACGTACACTGCCGTATAAGTTATCTTCAATTTGCTGTGCCTCGTTAATTGTCCTCAATAAGTTGTACCCTGCAATTTGTTCTCATGCAATACAGTTAAACTACTTCTATATATATAATAATCTTGCCACAATAAAAACCAGAATAAAAACTTCTGTGCAGTTCTATAAAATATGCTCACGCACGCAAGAAAGCTTCTAGATTTCCTTCTAATAATGACCATAGATTTCTATTGAATTACATGGGTGAGGAAAATGGCTTGGATGCAACTGGTCAAAATATAATGGAGGACGTGAAGACTCTCGTTTGCATTGTGGTTGTAGAACATACTTCGTATTAGGGAATCTAAATACTATTAAAAGTCGCTGGAGGAGGTAGCGTTCTGACCTTTTAGCAAAATTTAGGAAAATAGTATATTGCTCATACATAGTCAGTATATCCAATGTTTGCCACTATTTGAAGGACATTCGTATTTCAGGTTGTTAAATTAAAACTGTCAGTGAGTGTTTTGCTTGCTATTTTCATGTTCATATATAATAAAACGAAGACATAATACTTTTATTTTGTTTATGTTTCTTTTAAATTCTTGAATAATTAAACAAGTTTGTGTTTTGCAATTTTCAGCCGGTATTTCAATATTATGCTAAAAATATAACAGCATTTACACTCTTTCTGTGCAATTTAATTTATAAATAACATTTAATTATAAGTACTAGAGAAATGATCAAAGAATTAAAGCGAGCATATGCACTACGATAAAAACATCGCGAAGTTATAACTCATATATGCATCTAATGTTTTGCCAATCAATGCTCACTAAATCATTTAAAAAATGTTATGATTAACAACAATAAAAATCATATGGTGTAATACACTTGTTTTACGTAACAATATATTCCTACGATGGTTCGAATTCCTTTGCATTAAAACATTTATTATACACTGAATTACAGGTGCGTATGATGTTTTCATGAGATGAATTCAAGAAAATTGAAGTCGTTATCAGTTGAAGGTATGATACACAGAAAATAATAAAGGTGTAATTACTATACGTAATATTACTATAGATGATCAGTTATTTTATCTGTAATATTAATGATTTCGTACTTTGAATATATTCTTAGCTTGCTTTAATTCTCATACGTTAAAATTTTTACAAAATCAATAGTACTCAATGAACATTTAACAATTATTTGTCGTGCGTTCCTTTAAAGCAGTGAGTTATGATTAAAGGGAAACATTATTGGACGAAGGGAAACATTATTAAACTAACAATAAATTTAAATGCAGACCGGGAGTATTTTTAGTCTTCTGATATAAATTTGAATCCACCGCTGAATGACTAGTATGTCGCGTAGACACACTATAGATGAATTTTGACTGAATTTTATGTATTTTAAAAATAAAATATTTTGTTAGAGCTTTTGCACTAAGCCTTTTTAATGTCTTATTTGCGTCTAAGCCATCTATACGACGACATGTGAATTATATATAATTTAAATAAACTACTTCATGGTAGGTGAGTGCGTACAATTTAAAACTCAACGTAGACAATTTCTTTCTTACGAAGGAACTTGGATACGTAATGCCACATTATATACATATCAATGGTTTTCTTGACTATATTATGAAAAGATATAGTAGTCATTCGAAGGTAATCATTTAGCCTAATTGTTTTCTTAGTTTGAGTAAATGGACAGATGAGAGCAGTTGCATGGGAAGCAAAAGCTTATAAATTTTTCTTCTTTATGTTTTTTCTTGCGTTTTGCTGTTTGCTTTACGAAGTTTGTTAATACATGAATGTAATGTTATGCATTTTGGATCGTGGTCGATTACGGGAGAATAATGGACAGGAACTAATCAAAGCGCGCCATTTTGAAGAAGAGGCGCTTGCCATATAATAAAAAGAAATAATCTGCATCTTTCCTTTGCATATCTTGAATCATAGTTGATGTAATTGGCTTAAAACTACTGTTGCAAATATTTTGTATAAATATTTTGTATAGCGATAGTCTCATGTGGGATCAATACGATCCACTTCCGTTTTTTGCTTTTTACGCTTTACACGTCATCTCTCATGCTTTTAAAAGTTATGTGTATCTGTAATATATTGCATATAAGCACCTGCATTGCATAAGAGTTCATACTGCAACAAAGAACACGCTTACCAAACTTTAAAGAGAGTAACTTCTTAAAAAAAGCGCCAATTTAAAAAAGCAAAATATTTACATACGAACACATTTCAATAAAAATGTAATATAAATTGACTACATATATACAAAACAATTGATAAATACACGTACTTGTTTTAATTTATCCGCTGTTTTCTTAAGGAACTTTTTCCAGGGAGCTCTGTTCTTATTCGAGTTCTGCAAGAAGTGCAAGCGTCTCAAACAAGAAATGAATTTATAAATTTAAAATGCAGGAAATTGCAAGTGCTTCAATCTTTGTGTTTTTAAAGGACACATGCAACATAAAATTCGGATTGTTATTTTTGTACTTTACATGAAGGTATAGCTCCAACTAATAGTTCACCAAAGTTTGAGACTCAAAGGATAAATATTTTTGAAGATATGGAGGTTTAAAGTTGATGCTTTACTGATAACGTATTGAAAATGCCCGACGAGCTAGCGACAGCTACCGATGTCGTTGTGACGTAATAGTTGACATTCGCTAAACGCGGTCAATTGCGCGCTTCGTTCAAAATATATTGGTAACTTCTTAACAACACGACAATTTAGCATTGAAAATATGGTTTATTGTGCCGCATTTAATTGTAAAAACGGTTCTTCTAAGAACCACGAAACGCAGCAAAAGGTTTCTTTTTTTTCGTTTCCCGAAAACAAGCGCATGCGAGATATTTGGATTGAAAAAATCCGACGCAAAAATTGGAAGCCAACAAAGAGCTCAAAATTGTGCTCGCAACATTTCGAGAGTTCGTGCTTCGTGCAAAATTTTGAAGCGATGCAATCAGTAGGATGGACAGCAGGACGGCTTCGCCTTAAGAAGGATGCTGTACCCACGATTTTGAATACTCTGTGGAACCCACAAGTGTAGCATCTAAAAGGAAGCAGCCAACAAATGTTAGAACTGCATTTGAGAAGAGACGAAGGCAAGAGGTGAATATTATAGTTATAGTTAGCAATATTTGTTTACATTTATCAAAAACTAAGCTATATAGCATTACCAAATTGAAGACAATTTTATAATTTTAGATTATTGACGACGTTCTTGACGACGACGACGATGTGTCGACATCGGCTCGAAATGTTTGTGCGTTTTACCTCAAAGGAAGTTTGTCTAAGATGAAAGATGTCAAAATATATGTAGACAGCGAAACACAAACATATACAGTGGTAACTAATTCAGAGTAATGTCGTTTGATCTTTTCTTTGTTATTTTAACTCATAAAAAATTCCTTAACGTACCTTAGAAGCGCAATGTGAAATGCCAAGCAGCCATAACAATCCGTCCGCAAAAACACGTAAGGTCAAGAACCACTCAAACAAAAGTGCCAAATATGATAAGTTGAGGTATAGACTTTCCATTTCGGCTGTTTTGATTTTTGTGAAAAATCCAGCAATACGATAATTTTATGCTAAGGTACGGAGGTTGAGTTCATTTCAACAAAAAATCACAGCACACAGACGACGTCATGTGAAATTGAACATTTGAGGATAGCGCTGTATGGTCTGATACAGAAAGCACGTCGACGATGAGCAATAGCAACAATGGATCAGACTCTCAATGTTCAAATGAGTTAAGCGAAAATGAAGAATCTGACAATGACAATGCGACGTTAGTACCAACTATCCAGTCACCTGACTATTCTTTATATTGCTTTTCTCTGTTATGTTTCTCAGAACGTTACGTTTATCTCTCTCTGATTCTGATGGTAATTTTTATGTTATAGGGAAGACGTTCAAAATGAGAGAAAATACATAGTGTTTGATAGTTGCCTGAGACAGTTAGTGAGTCAATGCCCATGTTGTGGTGAAAGCTGCTCCATTGTGACCAAAACGACTGGTAGTATGGTTAACGTACTAGCAAAATGTCATTGTGGTTATGTTCGAGACTGGAATAGCCAACCTCTGCATGGGCGAATGCCTTTGGGCAACTTGGTCTTTGCTGCCAGCATCTTGTTTAGTGGTAGTAGCCCCAGCAAAGTTCTTCAATTCCTTCGTCACTCAGGCATACAATTTCTGTCAGAGCGCACATATAGCAATATTCAAACAGCGTATTTGATACCCAGTGTTTCAAATGTTTGGCATATGAACCAAAAGCATCTTCTAGAATCAATCAGAGAAAGGAACATTAACCTTGGAGGAGATGGAAGATGTGATTCGCCTGGATATTGTGCCAAGTATGGGTCATATAGCTGCATGGATTTGGAATCTAACAACATTTTAGACACACAACTTGTTCAGGTAACAATTCTTCAACAACTGTACATAAAACATGGTTAGAATACTCACATAATTATGTTACACAGTCCAATGAAGTGACGAACTCTGGAGCAATGGAACTTGAGGGATTAAAAGATGTCTGGCAAAGTTTGATGAAAGTGGGATGAAGGTGAAGTCAATGACCACAGACAGACATGCTCAAATCAAATCCTACATGTCAAAACAAAGACCAAAAATCGAGCACTACTTTGATGTATGGCATGTAGCAAAAGGTATAGATTGTCATAACAAACCAACCTTTTACACATTTCATCAATAATCAAATTCCAACAGGAATCAAAAGAAAATTTTGGCAGCATCAAAAAAAAGTGGTTGCAAATTATTGTCGGATTGGGCCCAATCAATTTCCAACCATGTATACTGGTGTGCTGCTTCCAGCAATGGTGATGAAGAACTTGTCAAGGCAAAGTGGTTGTCAGTTCTCAATCATATATGTGACATCCATGAGGGACATAGTGATGTATTCCCAAAATGTGAACATGATATGTTAGAGCCTAGAATGTGGATAAAAAAGGTATTGTAAGCGAATAAATTTCAAAGTAACATTAACATTTTTTTTTGTTAACTAACTTCTGATCTTAGGTTCAAAAGCTTATTTTTGAGCTGTCTTCGATTGTTGAGTCCAAGTATCTCATGAGAGATATTGGAAAACTCAGTTATCAGAAGCAGACTTCATCCATCGAAGGTTTCCACCGTATGGTGATTCTTTTTGCACCAAAACATACCCATTTTTTCTACAGATCAATGGAAGCAAGGTAATATAATTATGACTTGTGTATGATCACTTAAAAAAGTCATCATTGCAAAAGCAATAAGTTGCAATAGTTGTAAACATAAACTTAACATTCATTTGTAGATTGTTTATTGCTGCTCTTCATTTCAATGAGAATGGAAATAAACCTCAGAAAACAAAGAATGGTGGGCAAACAGAAGAGGCATTGATTTGGAGAGTGGCTTATTCAAAGTCAAAAGAAGGACAAGGGGTCATCAAACCAGTGAAAGTTGACAGCACTTATGGTTAGCACAGAAAAATAAACTTACCTTTTCTCAAAGTGCAATGCAAAGCCAACATAAATAATGATTTGCTTTTCAGGATATGTTAAGGACTTGATGAAAGAAGTTTTGTACTGCAGATGCATTAATCCAACACTGTCCAAAGCTCTTGATGTCGCTGGAGTGAAAGAGATACCTGTCCCATTGACTCACCACAAATCAAAAATCAGCAAAGCTGAAGCCATTAAGCAACATAAATCTCGCTTTAATAAATAAAAAGAAATAACGTCCCACATGAAATAAACATAATTACAAATGAACAGACTTTGTCATACGCCATAAGCCCTACCATTCAGTAGTGTTAAGCATATTCAAATCCTTTGTATTCTCCAGAAGGCGAAGGAAATGCTTTCCGGATTTTGTTCACAGCACAAGAAGGTATGGGTAGTCGGTACTTTTTTCCCAACCTGCCATGCACCCAAGCCGTCCACTGTCGGTACGCCGTGTAGCGTAATGCTCTGAACGATACAAAATTTTGTCTAAGATACTTATCGGCATTATACACTTGTCGACATACACGTAATTACACTTCTAAGGTAATATTTACTCGTTTTCTTCACTCTCAGGCATAGGTCCAATGTCATGTGTGTACACGACCATAGCTGTTTTTAAGACAGCTTCGTTTGTACATACTGTGGCAAACTCTTCCTCTTGTGTGATGCAAATATGATCGCCATGTATCAGAGGATCAGTGTTGTTTACCTCTTGGCAACATATACTTTCCCGTCCTGTACTCATGACCACACAAAAGCCACACTCGCACCTAAAAGATAAAAACATTCCTTCTACTTTGGGAAAAACAATGAAGCATCATCAAAATGCAACTAACCATTCAACATTTCCAATTCTGTGAATGTATTTATCTTCGCTTTCCGATGACGGAGAATTGTCATTACTATGACCACCTTGCGCGTTGGCCAAAGGCTCAAACATGTAAGGTTGTGCATCATTGTTATTGACGACAATATCATAATCGGCTTCTTCAGAAGAAGAATCCATTAATTTTTGTTAAATAAAAAACAGTAATAGCAAACTACCGAAAGCCATGCAAGAATTGCGTGCAAGTCGTAGAACGATATAAGAACGAAGCTTGTTTATGTCAACTATTACGTCACTCTTTCCCAGTTCCCAGACTTAAACAATCTCACGGCGTTTTAGCAATTGTCATCGAATATCGTGTTTTTACCGATTATAACCCTAAATATCTTTTTAAATATTTCGCGGACGACTTTGAAACTTGGTACGTCTTATTTTCACGCTATAGGCATTACAATAAAATAAAGTTGTCTTTTAGCTTGCATGTGTCCTTTAAGCCCATTGCTTAAACGGAAGCCTTCGTATATTTGTTTAGGGTTTGTTAACTTAATTGCACGAGTTCCTTTTCGTAAATAATAACGTCAACCAGGCGCTCGCTAGATAATAAAATTTCAATAACAAATTATGACGTATAAAATTTTGAACGATCTATGGATTTAATGGCATTTCTTTGACATTGATTTCGTAATTACACGTAAACGAGCCTGCAGTTTTAAAATAGAACATTGTTGAGAAAAAAGAAAAAGCAAGGTGTGGGGAGACTAAGCTTAAGTGGCCTGGCAAGGCCTGGCTACTATGCCCCAAAATAAATCTCATCCAACAAGGCGAGTGAAACAACAACAGGGAAAACTATGGAAAAACACACACAAAAAAGAAATTGTGATACATTTTGAAGTGCACGTGTAATATGATTTCAAAACAACACATTAAAATTGAAGCATGGAAAAGGCAGATATTCTTGTATAGAAGACAAAGAAAAAGCAAGCAGTTGGAGGGTGAACCGGGTGACTCGTTAGCTCACTGAGCTAAGCTTATAGATGACTTTAATACTCAGAGTAAGCTTGTTTACAGTTTGCTGGCAGACAGATTTATCCAATTGTTTCCAGTGTTGTCTAAAAATACTAGATTAAACCTGCCTCTTAGAAAAACGTAAACAAGTCACGTCATCTATAAAATAAAGTTGGTATCATTTACACACAGATATATCTATTTCTATGACCCTGATTTGTTAGAAATTTATTTATATTGGCCAGTAAAAAAGGATGTTCTTCTACAGAACTTTGATTGTTATACTAAAACATGTTAAATCTTTTGACTCTTGTCTATTTCAAATTTTTACTTTCACCATGTTGCAGTTTTAAAAACTGATCATCTCAGTTTTGATAAATAATAAGTTGCATAGTTTAAGAAGTTAATGTAATAATACTTCTGTGCTGGTAATGAAATTGAGTATTCAGCAAGATCCAGGTTGTTATAACTTGACCATCACTTTCTTACAAGAATACCTCTTTTGCTGTTAACCCGTATACTAAGAGCTCACTCACATTCACATATATTGAGAGCGACATAAATATCACACTCTATGTAATCTTCAGCAGAGTCATTTTTCCATCTATGCAAAGATTTCTCCTAGATATTTCAAATGAAGCAATCAGTTGAGAGAAACTGAGACTTTGAACATGTATGAAGTGATTTCTAAGCCCCCACTCATTGACTGTGTAATGCCTGGTATATTTTCTATGCACATGCGTTAAGTCCACCGTTTTTCTGGACAGTAATTTGACGACTGTGTACTATGAAGTTGTATTGAAAAAAGTGATTTTGGAATAATAGTCATCTCATACGCAGAGCAGAAGATTTTGGAAGATGGCGAAAGGTTGTAAGAAAACGGGAAAGATATATAAGATTTATATATAGTGAGAGCTCATAATTTCATTGCTAACAAGTACGTAAATGCTTGCTCATTGGTAAATTCGAACGTTTCAACGTAGGGTATAGAGTTGTAAATATGGTTATGTTAACGAAAGTCGAAAATAGAATCTCTTACGTTTTCGTTTCTTCTAAATCATATAAATTCAAATTAATTGAAGTATAATTATGAGGTAAAGTAACCATTCATTGAATCCAATAATGATTCATGAGGCGTTTTTGTGAAGATACCGTCCATTTTAAGAAACATCCAAATTTACGCCAATAAGAATGTATTCATTTTAGCGTATCGAGAAAATAACAGAATTAATGACTCTAGTTCGAGACTGACTTTATAGACGTTATTAGCAATATTTGTAATGTAACAGTTGTTCGCCACACATTATTTAAGCACCAGTTAACATTTAAATACGTAATAACAGAGTTGCGTCGGGATCTTTTCTTCTCACAGGAACGTTTACGGACGTATTTTCCTCAATATTAAGGAGAATGATATTTGGTTCTAAATATCCATCATCAATATATTTAATGGAGACGTTTAAATTAAATATTCCTCATGAATGTAAAGTGTGCTTTGTTTCCACTTTTGATTTTCGTTGCCTGAAGAAATTGCGTCAGCTTGAATCGTTACTTTTCCAAGGTTGAATCATTTTTCATTTAGTGAATGGAAAATGTTCATATCAATATGTGTTTACGAAGTTTAAAAGTCCTCTTCTTCCACTGTTACATTGTCAATACTTGAGACCCAATCACCAAATTCGTTTCTCAAACATGTTCAACTTTTACCACTTCGTTAATAAAGTAATCATATCTTTATTTGCAAAGCAAATTCATACAAAGGTTCACTGAACCAATTCAACTATAGAATTCGCAATTAAAATAGTTTTTATAAATTTCTTCATCCCCTTGTTGACTAGGAACAATGTCGAGCACGATCAATATTTGTCAACTTTTAAGTCAGTAAAGTTGAACTTTGTCCATGTAGCTAGTGTAAATATTTTTTTAGCAATATAAAAGTTTTGCTATGTGGATATTTTCGCAACTTAGAATGCCTTAATTGAACAACTTTAAAATGTCATTCAATTACGAAAAAACTTTGTATATCTTTTAAACTTCCATTCATCTCAAGTGCAAATGGAAATGTAAAGAAACAGAAAAATACTACAACCACATAAAACATAAAATGTAAATTAAAAAAGATTTTTCAATCTATAAAGAGTCCTATATTCTTGCAAAATCATTGTTACCGATTCGTTACTTTATTATTAACAAATAAAGCCGTAGCTAGAGCTTTATGCTTCACAAAACTCGTTGGTTTTCTAAGTAAAAACCTCGGTCTTTTTTTATAACTAAAATAAAATATTGATGAAGCAACAACGGCAACAAACTTCCTCGTACCAATCCAGTACACACTTACTAAAGGTCACTATTGACGCTAGAACATCACATTAAACACTACTGAAAAGTGTATTATTAACACAC